GAAATTTCAGAGCATAATGAAATATTGATACAGCTGCACGAAGCTTGTATAAAGCAGTCCGTCCAATGATGGCATTATACTGATTTTTAAGATCCATCACCTTGAATGTCTCCATAATAACTTTGGAGGCCTGTCCTGGGATTCCGAACTGAATTGGCATAGTGATTTCGCCGAGGGTGGTTGTTATGGTTCCATTAAAGCCTTGTACTTGATCTTTACAGGGTTTTAGCTCGGCTGGATCGATTCCCATTTGTTCAAATGTACGTAACATCATAATACTCGAATATGCTCCAGTGTCCACCAACATACGATGTATCGGTATTCCACAGATGGGTGCCGTGATTATTAAGGGATCAGCATGGGGGTGAGCAAAATAACTTGCATCATCAACATTGAATGTAATCGGGCAATTGTTCCGAGCATTAATTTTATCTCGGAGGTCGGTAGTTAGAACTGTTTTTCCCGAGTTAAAAGCTTTTCGTGCGTACGCTTTTATTTGTCTCCGTGATTCCGACGTTGCATTACTGCTGTTATTAACCCGGGGTACATGGTGTGAGTTGTCAGGATTATAGTATCCTCCTCGATACATCATTTCGATCGAGTCTTTTTCTCGTTGATTCGTCATATATATTTCTTTCTCATTTGATCTCACCCGTTTTGGATTAATTGGACGCTCTTCATCGTCTTCATCGTCTGGTAAATCAGGCATTCTTCCTTTTCGTTTATAATCAACATTTTTGGCAAATCTTTGGACTTGAGGATGTCCAATAAGTCGCAACAAGGCAGAAAGTAAACCGAGACATTCATCGGTATTATGGCCTGCCGACTTATGATATGAACAATATCTTGTTTTATCAAGTTTTTCTTCGGGTGTTCTGACAGGTCGAGGATCAGGAAGAATTCCCTTCCCTTTTAATTCCTCAAATATTGTTGCTGCTCCTGCCGAGAATACCGTCTGGTAGCTGGATTTAACTTCATTAAGATATTTAGTTCTGGCTTCTTGCACTTCGGGTATTTTTGGATTCCCAAATCGAGACTTATTTGGCTTGAAAAATTTATTTTTCTTCTTTTTTGATTCCTGCCCGACATCCGACTTCAACAAGGAAAAGTCGATATTAGGAACCGACATTGATTCTTCGGCTAAAATATGCTGTTGAGCCCGAGCTAGAAAGTCTTGAAACGAAGTCGGTTTATTTTGACATATACTCCATCGGAACAACGAATTTGGCTTCAATCCGGCTATGGCTGTGACCAATAGCGTTTCGGGATGGCATTGCTCCATATTTTGTATACACTTAAAATATTATATTAATATGGATAAAAGTATCTAAAATTTTCTATATTATTATTAAGTCATTTTCAACTTTTTTAAACTCTTTTGTAAAGAAAACATGTATAAAAATATTTAAATTTAATATATATATATATGTATATGCGTATATGTATGTGTATATATAGATAGAATATAACATGATAAAATATTATATAGAAGCATCTGAAATATGCCTAAATAAAGACATTAAAAAGTTTTTGAGAGAAAATTTACATAGTATATATAAAATAAATATTGACATGATACCGAGAATTATAAGGTACTTCCATATCTGAAAATTTGAGTACAGAAGATTTCAAAATTATTATACTAATTTTTTAAGTTATTACCGTAAAAAGAAATTTGTACGCATAACAATTTCACGCATGTAGATTTATCAATTTTATAAATATAAATCGAGATTAATGCAAATCTAACAAAAATGTCATTTATTACGAATCCACTCATGTAGATTTATCAATTTTACAAATACAAATCGAGATTAATGCAAATATAACAAATAAAATGGCATTTATTTTATATCTAGATTAAGACAAAGTTGTTATCTAAAAAGCAATTCCACACAAAGATTTGTTAATTTTACAAATACAAATAGAGATTAATACAAACCGTAACATATAAAATGAGATTTTATATCTAACTGAGATTAAGACAAAATTGAAGATGGTATTTAATTCTGTATTTTTTCTATTAACCTTTTACTGTATGTATTTTATATTTTTGGTGGATAAAAATGTGATAAATCATTTTCTTATTAAATGACATGTAATAAATGCTAATGGGAGTTTCACTAATATTTGACTAAGAATTATTTTTTTAAAAAAAAAATTATTAGTTATTATTATAAAAAATCAGTTGTTGCTGTCTTGAATTAACAACTTCAAATTAAACACAGTTGATGTTTCAAAGATGAAGATAAAAGTTTAATTGGATTTTATTGATTCTGTTCACAAGAGTACAGAAGTCGGTTTTTAGCTGAAAACCGAGGTTGTCTCAAGTTCGTGTACAATGTGATCGAAAAAAGATCCTCGTACTATCATAAATTCTGCTATTTATAGTACGGTGGCTTTTGTTTTCTTCCTCGAAATGGATAGAGATGCATTTAATATTGAGCTGCTTTGTTTGAGGCGGCGGGAAACATCAATGATTGCCTTTTTGTTTCGTTGGTCCAATCAGATGCTTCTAATGATTACTTTCTGTTGGAATGCTCAAACTTTATGGTAGTCGGTTGATTTGAAGTCGGTTTACTTACGTAGGTTTCGGATGTCGGTTTTGATCCTTTTTTGAAAGTCTGTCGGAAGTTGGATCTTTCGGAAAGCGGCCATTCTTAAGAAGTCGGTAATTTGCCATAATATATTCCGACTTTTAGTACCTTAATTCTGATTACTGGATTTGGTATCAACATCAGTTACAATAGATAAAGTTTTTTCAAACTTACTCACATTTATACGATGAGGTTTATAATGACAAGCGATGAGGTGATATTGACTTTTTAAAAGATTTATGGAATGATATTTTTTTAAACTTGCCGAAACAATTTTCAGATTTACATGGGATTCTGTAGGTTTATGATGGCATGGGATGATATTGACTTTTAAATTTACCGAGATATATGGAATGATATTTGTTTAAGCCGAAACAATTTCCACATTTTAAGGGCAACATATTTAAGTTAACAAAAGAATTGCCATAAATGGCATGTAATAAATGCTCATGGTAGTTTGACTAACATTTGACTTAGAAAATTGATAATTTTTATTATATATATATATATATATATATATATAGAGAGAGAGAGAGAGATTTCTAGTAAATAGGTTCTCTATTTATATATATGATATAGCCATATCGTCTCCTACCGGCCTTAGAACTTTCCACTCGACCAGGTGAGTAGCCAGATTGTCCTCACGTCGGCGTACTCTCGCCAATGTACCTAAGTCGACTTCCACAAAGTCGATTCCGCAGTAGAACAACTGCGAAAGAAGGGAAAAATCCATGTAAGCCGACTCCTCGAGGTCGACTTCCTACAGTCGATTCCCGAAGTCGACTCCCACTTAAGAGTAACAAAGCGTAGCCTCCGAATCCTCATATGATCATGAGTCGACCTCTTAGTTCTCGAGGTCGACTTCTTTCGCCTCAAGTCCGAAAGGCATGATGACGACTTATCACACTTACAACATACTTGAGACTGCGTTCTTCAATGGATAAGAGGGAATTTTGTGATGATTCAGCAGCAAAGGGGAGACGAACCGATCGGGGTATTTCGGACCTTTCAGGTAAGTCGACCAGGGCATTTTGGGTACTCCAAGTAAGTGTTTCCTCCTATATAAAGGAGGTGAGGTATCCCTAAACCCTAACTCCCATTCATTTCACACTCCCCCCATAGCTGCTGCGCAGCCTCACTTCATCTCTCTCATATACTGACTTGAGCGTCGGAGGCTCTACGCCGGAAACACCTCCGGCGTTAAGTTTTTGCAGGTATCCTCGCGGTCTAGCAACGGTTCGAAGGCGATTCAAACATATCTGAGCTCCTTACCACTGGTTCACTCCAGATCTGAAGAGTAGACCTATCAATATACTAGTACAATACCCGTGTATTACACGAGTGTTGAATTAGAAACTTTTGTTAAAAAATTTAAACTTTTTATGTTTTTAAAAACTAAAATAATTTAATTTTATATAAAACATTACTTTGAGTTTTAATTAAATTGTCAAATTATATTTTTTAACCATAATAATTAAACACCCGTACATTAAATAAAAATGTCAACCCGTGTTGAATTTTTTTACTTATAACATATAAAATTATCGATATTATTTACTATTACATAAGTACAAAAATATATATCTTAAATAAATAGAAATAATATGGTGATATGTATATGCATAAGTGTAGAATATGTTTATTTAACGTTAAGCAAAATAGATTAATTTTTTCACTTAATTAGATGTCTAATATATCAAGTGTCGTATCAGTCGTCCTTCACAGTTTTTTAACTTTACATGTAATTTTAGAATTTAAATAAATGATTATTTATTTTTACTACATTGATAACATACCAATTATATTTGAAATAAATATTATTTTTAAAATAATATATACCAATTTTTATTACTTTATAATATAACTTATAGTTTTATTTGATATAATTTAATTTAGTTTCATAAATAAATTTAAATTTTATTTATAAAGATATATATTACTGTTTTCTATTATATATATATAAATAGTAAAATACAAACGGATTTAATAATATTAATTCAAATGCAATACAGTAATTAATATTTTTTCTTGACAATATTAACCCTATTTAATGGATGTTATGAGAAACGATGGAGATGAGTCAATTTATATCCAAGTCTAACTGCAAAGTATAATTTTTTGTAGATTTCGACGCATGAGAGAGTTTGCCACGTAGGCTCAGTGCCTTCTGAAGATATAGATATAGATATAGATATACGTAGACTATCGAAAATAATGTAAAAATTACTTTAAAAAAGATATACAATGTCTTTATTTATGTCATTTTGGTTCAATCCTATTTGATTGGGCCTAATGGACCAAAACTCAAATCCAATAATATAGGATTGCTGTCATTCCCGTTCACTATATCATATTGGGGTGGGCATAATAGTCCGTAAACCCAAATCCAATACGGTGTACATTACAGATTTAGTGTTTAAAATCGCCTCTGCCCGTCGCCTATGCCTATTTAGGTGCGTTGTTTCTTCTTCCTCCTCAGCGCTGCGCAAAGCAAAGAGGAATAATTGAAACCATGTCTCTCAAGTTTTTGGCCCACGCCAAATCAAAATTCAATTCCTTCCGAAATTTGAGCACAGCATTACCTATAATGAAGGATGATAGCAAGTTTATGGTGGCGCGGATTACAGGAGTAGGGCAAATGCACGAATGGATCAATTACTCAGTAATTTCGATCAAGGATAAACGTCCCCAACTCGAAAAAAATTTCAAATTTCCAGTCCTCCAGCATATTCACAATCCCGCATCTATTTGCAATGGTTTGTTGCTGCTTTTGTTCAACGGCAACGGAAAAATTGATAAAGATACAGGCAAAACAACAAAGCCTTCCCCACATGAGGGTTTGTGGAACCCGACCACAAGCGAAATCAAAACCCTTCCTCCATCACCCGCATCCTTGGACCCCAGGTACGAATTCTTGTGAAACTCATAAACAGGTACTAATCCTTGTGGAACGTATAAATCTTTATTATGTGGAACTTATAAATCTTTATTATGCAGGTAGGAACTAAAAATTACATGCTTCATGGGAAATAGATCCAGTGTAGAAAAATATATTATAAGTTCAATTGCAAATGCAAGTGGACTGGCTTTGTTGATATGTCAACAAGAAAAAGAGATCCGATTTAATAGATACCGGTTCTGTTTGCATTGGAATGAATTGTGTAACTTTAGTTTTATCCATTTGGGTCTAATTGTGGCATTTAAATAGAAGGATGAGATAAAAATATGTAAAAAGTAACAAAATTAATTTCAATGCAAATAGACTCTAAAATAGACTTAAGGTAGATTGTATCTCTTTGCCGCCATATCAGCACCACTTGCAGTTGCATTGGAGAATATATTTTTCTAAACTGGGTCTACTTTCTATGTGGTCGGTATTTTTTTTTTAATGAACCAAAGCGTTGTGGATAGCATTGTGAATGATAAGTAAAGTTAGACCCAAAGCATCTAATGAGTCAATTTTTTCATAGACAGTAACTAATCATCCTATCATACAGGTGTGTGAAGATGGCCCACGGTTATTTTGGTTTTGGGTTTGATTCAGCGTCTGAGGATTACAAGGTGATAAGATTGCTGAAGTTCCGTGATAACACTAAACATATTGCGCTCACCCCAGCTGTGATGGCCGAACTATATTCGCTCAGAACTAACTCATGGAAACAAGTCAGCCTTGTTCATCCTTATCATAGTGCACCTCAGGATGATGGTGTTCACGTAAACGGCACTTATTACTGGTTAAATCTCTCAAAACCCTTTTTTATCATGTCTTTTGACTTTGCTAGTGAGAAGTTTGCTTCCTCTCGTGTTGACTTGCCCCCGAGTGAGAAGCTCACTACAGATAAATATAATGAATTTAAGCTGGTGGAATATTGTGGGTCCCTCGGTGCTGTGGTTAAGTCGTATGAGGACACCAACAACCCTTTTAGTAGTTTGGAAATTTGGGTTTGGGATGGCAGCAGATCATCGTGGTCTCTGGTGTCCACTCTTGTCGTCCCTCTTCCTGTGGGTTTATATAGCCTCGTTGGGACTGACAAATTAATTTTTTGGAACTTGAAAGGTGATACAATGTTTTTCGATTGTGCGACGAGAAAGTTGGAGAAGATGAGCTGGGTGCCTACTTCTCCTATGGATTCGCACATTTTTCCGTTCGTCGAGAGCTATGTTCCGCTGCACTAATAAATAATCAGACTGTTGAAGAAGAAGTAAGTATGAGGGCTATGTTCCATTCAACTCAGTTTGCTCTACTCACTTTGCTCTATATATGTATAGTGCTGCTTCGTTAGTCTGCTTTCGAGATGGTAATAGTTTTTTTTTTTTTTTTTTTTTAGATTAGATGTCATATTTTTTACCCAACTGTTAATAGAAAACATGTAAAGTGATGGAGTTAAATTCAATTTTAACCATTCATTTTGAGTACAAATGCGTAAATATTAAAATTGTTTTCACGCAATAGTGCTTTCGTACTATTCTTATTCGCTCGAAGCATAAAATCTTACATAGATCATCCACACACAAAAGAAATGGGCGAAAGTACACGTGTTATATTGTTCTAAAAATAATTCCAAAAGGATGAGATATTTAAACAAATCCCACACCAACAATTAATTACTTTTATATATTCTAATATGGAAATCTTTTCTTTCCTTAAATTGTGTTCTCTTGCTTCCGTCCGTCTGCTCCTTTTCTTGTAGCCCGCAGGCCCCGCACAGGTGTTTAAATTTTCTCATCTGGTTTACTCTGTCTGACCTTTTGCTTTATTTTATTTATTTAGAAAAATAATGTTATTAAAATAAAAAATACTTATATACCTCAAATTAACGATCATTAATAAAATAAATTAGGAAAAACTAATTTTAAACACCAAATAAAATATCAATAACCCAACTTAATACTGTTTCTTCAACCCCATCATGTTACTCATCTCACCAAACAAAAAGCACATAACTAATAGCTCACACAGGGACTTCTAAAATAAACCATTCATAAACAGTAAATAAGCAAACTACTGATATCATTTGAAACATGTTCTATTATAAAAATATGCGTACAATAAACTACTCATAAACCATAAGTAAACTGAATCGTTTTATTGAGACCATAACATCATTGGAGTGAGTTGTATAATTGCCTCATTTGAAGTTTCTCTTTGTTACAATCTCTATCTTTCTTATGGTGACTGGCAGTTTTGATAGGCGAGTGGGTAGTCATGGCTCAATGAGGAGATAGTTGATTGTTCAATGAGAAGATGAGCTCGAGTTGAAAATAGAGACCATGGGGGATCTAGAATGATCTTTGACTGTGGGCGGTTGATCGTCAGCAACAATTTCAGGCTAGGTTTTTTCTCCCCTTTTCTTTATAGTATACTTTTTTTTCATTGGCTGAATAGAAGGTGTAAGTGGCGGTCCAAAATAAGCATTATCTTGCTTTTCATTGTCAATACAATGGCCATTCGACCCACCCTTCATTTTTCCCTTTCATATTGATGGGTTTGCTCGCTCCATCAGGTTTAAACTCTTATTTTCGTCTGTCCTTTTGTGCGTAAATTCTCAATAAACATGAAGGAATGTTGTTTCTTTCGGTTCCAAGGGACATGTTTCCTTTTTGTATTGTACTTTTTGATGGGGTCTCATATTTGTTAATTGTATGGCTTAGCTAAGTGATCTTCATGAATAATATGGCAAAGTGGCGACCCCAGCAAGTTGTTGAGTGCCAAAACAGTTGGAATGCCCATGCAAAGCCTTCTTGGAAAGAGGTAAAGGTTTCACATAGCCTGAGATGCCTGGATAATTTCGTGATCATGTCGCAGGGCATATGAGCAGGCTGGTGGAACTGAGCGTGCGTATGAATTATATATTATCCGTTGAGTACTCACACATACATCCACACATATATATGTAATTTATGCATGGACCTTTTATAGTACCAGGTCCATATTCTAAGTTGATTACCTATTTTATGCACAGAAATGAGATCAAACGCAAGGCAAATGCAAGAGGTAACTGGGAAACACAAACTGATGAACTCACTCAGTGAGTATTCCCTTTGTTGATATAGAATACATTAATTCACTGCCTCCCTTACATCCACATTATCTGGCTATTTTGTCTTTGTTGTTTTAGAGTGACCAAGGAAGTTGTCAATGAAGGTGAGAAAACAGTGGGTGTGGAGAGCCCTCAGGAGAGGGTGCTGTTGCATCTGATGGAGACGAGGAAGCTGCTGCAAATGAAGGTGAAGAGAAGGAACTTGAGGATAAGATGAAGCAATTTATGTAATTTTAATTAATGGTCGTTTTTTTTAACAAATGCAAAATTCATTACAATTTCTGGTTTAACCAAAGTGAGAACGCATATTGTAGCCATATTGTTCTGTATGATGTGAAGTTGATTGTTACAATACCTCATTGGATTTGTAAAAAATATAGGGAAAATTGAGATTATAATGTGGTCATAATGCTTATGTATAGTACTTTGATCAAATTTCTTTTAGTATGCGTTTATTAATTACATAAAGTTTATGAATTTTGTAAATTAACAATTTTTACTCTCATTCATATGATATTTACATGACATTGATAATAACTAAAATGTTATACGATTACAGTGGGCCGGCTGTGCAGAAGGCTGCATAGTATATATATATATATATATATAGATTTCTAGTAAATAGGTTCTCTATTTATATATATGATATAGCCATATGATATTGTTAATTTTGTAAATTAACAATTTACTCTCATTCATATGATATTTACATGACATTGATATAACTAAAATGTTATACGACTACAGTGGGCCGGCTGTGCAGAAGGCTGCGTAGTATATATAGATTTCTAGTAAATAGGTTCTCTATTTATATATATGATATAGCCATATCGTCTCCTACTGCCCTAAGAACTTTCCACTCGACCGGGTGAGTAGCCAGATTGTCCGCACGTCGGCGTACTCTCGTCAGTGTACCTAAGTCGACTTCCACAAAGTCGACTCCGCAGCAGAACAACTGCGAAAGAAGGGCAAAATCCATGTAAGCCGACTCCTCGAGGTCGACTTCCTGCAGTCGATTCCTGAAGTCGACTCCCACTTAAGAGTAACAAAGCGTAGCCTCCGAATCCTCATATGATCATGAGTTGACCTCTTAGTTCTCGAGGTCGACTTCTTACGCCTCGAGTCCGGAAGGCATGATGACGACTTATCACACTTACAACATACTTGAGACTGCATTCTTCAATGGATAAGAGGGAGTTTTGTGATGACTCAGCAGTAAAGGGGAGACGAACCGACCGGGGTATTTCGGACCTTTCAGGTAAGTCGAGCAGGGCATTTTGGGTACTCTAAGTAAGTTTTTCCTCCTATATAAAGGAAATGAAGTATCCCTAAACCCTAACTCTCATTCATTTCACACTCCCCCTCATAGCTGCTGCGCAGCCTCTCTTCATCTCTCTCATATACTGACTTGAGCGTCGGAGGCTCTACGCCGGAAACACCTCCGGCGTTGAGTTTTTGCAGGTATCCTCGCGGTCTAGCAATGGTTCGAAGGCGATTCAAACAGATCTGAGCTCCTTACCACCAGTTCACTCCAAATCTGAAGAGTAGACCCATCAATATACTAGTACAATACCCGTGTATTACACAAGTGTTGAATTAGAAAGCTTTTGTTAAAAAATTTAAACTTTTTATTTTTTAAAAAACTAAAATAATTTAATTTTATATAAAACATTGCTTTGAGTTTTAATTAAATTGTCAAATTATATTTTTTAATCATAATAATTAAACACTCGTACATTAAATAAAAATGTCAACCCGTGTTGAATTTTTTTACTTATAACATATAAAAATATCAATATTATTTACTATTATATAAATACAAAAATATATATCTTAAATAAATAGAAATAATATGGTGATATGTATATGTATAAGTGTAGAATATGTTTATTTAATATTAAGCAAAATAGATTAATTTTTTCACTTAATTAGATGCCTAATATATCAAACGTCGTATCAGTTGTGCTTCACAGTTTTTTAACTTTACATGTAACCTTAGAATTTATATAAATGATTATTTATTTTTACTACATTGATAACATACCAATTAGATTTGAAATAAATATTATTTTTAAAAGAATATATACCAATTTCTATTACTTTATAATATAATTTATAGTTTTATTTGATATAATTTAATTTAGTTTGATAAATATATTTAAATTTTATTTATAAATATATATTACTGTTTTCTATTATATAAATATAAATAGTAAAATACAAACGGACTTAATAATATTAATTCAAATGCAATATAATAATTAATATTTTTTTCTTGACAATGTTAACCCTATTTAATGGATGTTATGGGAAACGATGGAGATGAGTCAATTTATATCCAAGTCTAACTCTAAAGTATGATTTTTTGCAGATTTCGACGCATGAGAGAGTTTGCCACGTAGGCTCAGCGCATTCTGAAAATGTAGATATAAATATAGATATATGTAGACTATCGGAAATAATGTAAAAATTACTTTAAAAAAGATATACAATGTCCTTATTTCTGTCATTTTGGTTCAATCCTATTTGATTGGGCCTAATGGACCAAAACTCAAATCCAATAATATAGGATTGCTTGTCATTCCCGTTCACTATGTAATATTGGGGTGGGCATAATAGTCCGTAAACCCAAATCCAATAAGGTGTACATTACAGATTTAGGGTTTAAAATCTCCTCTGCCCGTCGCCTATGCCTATTTAGGTGCGTTGTTTCTTCTTCCTCCTCAGCGCTGCGCAAAGCAAAGAGGAATAATTGAAACCATGTCTCTCAAGTTTTTGGCCCACGCCAAATCAAAATTCAATTCCTTCCGAAATTTGAGCACAGCATTACCTATAATGAAGGATGATAGCAAGTTTATGGTGGCGCGGATTACAGGAGTAGGGCAAATGCACGAATGGATCAATTACTCAGTAATTTCGATCAAGGATAAACGTCCCCAACTCGAAAAAAATTTCAAATTTCCAGTCCTCCAGCATATTCACAATCCCGCATCTATTTGCAATGGTTTGTTGCTGCTTTTGTTCAACGGCAACGGAAAAATTGATAAAGATACAGGCAAAACAACAAAGCCTTCCCCACATGAGGGTTTGTGGAACCCGACCACAAGCGAAATCAAAACCCTTCCTCCATCACCCGCATCCTTGGACCCCAGGTACGAATTCTTGTGAAACTCATAAATAGGTACTAATCCATGTGGAACTTATAAATCTTATTAATCTTATCTTATTATGCAGGTAGAAACTAATGAGTCTGGCACATCCAATTCACAAATTACATGCTACATGGGAAATAGATCCAGTGTAGAAAAATATATTATAAGTTCAATTGCAAATGCAAGTGGACTGGCCTTGTTGATATGTGAACAAGAAAAAGAGATCCGATTTAATAGATACCGGTTCTGTTTGCATTGGAATGAATTGTGTTACTTTAGTTTTATCCATTTGGGTCTAATTGTGGCATTTAAATAGAATGATGAGATAAAAATTAATATAAGGAGCAAAATTAATTTCAATGCAAATAGACTCTAAAATAGATTTAAGGAAGATTTTATCTCTTTGCCGCCACTTGCACTTGCATTGGAGAATATATTTTTTAAAACTGGGTGTACTTCCTATGTTGTCTGTATCTTTTTTTTTTTTAAATGAACCCAAAGCACTGTGGATAGCATCGTGGATGATAAGTAAAGTTAGACCCAAAACATCTAATGAGTCAATTTTTTCATATACGTAATCATCCTATCATACAGGTGTGTGAAGATGGCCCACTTTTATTTTGGTTTCGGGTTTGATTCAGCGTCTGAGGATTACAAGGTGATAAGATTGCTGAAGTTCCGTGATGACAACAAACATATTGCACTCACTCCAGCTGTGATGGCCGAACTATATTCGCTCAGAACTAACTCATGGAAACAAGTCAGCCTCGTTCATCCTTATCATAGTGCACCTCAGGATAAGGGTGTTCACGTAAACGGCACTTATTACTGGTTAAATCTCTCGAAACCTTTTTTTATCATGTCTTTTGACTTTGCTAGTGAGAAGTTTGCTTCCTCTCGCGTTGACTTGCCCCCGAGTGAGAAGCTCACTACAAATAAATATAATGGATTTAAGCTGGTGGAATATTGTGGGTCCCTCGGTGCTGTGGTTAAGTCGTATGAGGACACCAACAACCCTTTTAGTAGTTTGGAAATTTGGGTTTGGGATGGCAGCAGATCATCGTGGTCTCTGGTGTCCACTCTTGTCGTCCCTCTTCCTGTGGGTTCATATAGCCTCGTTGGGACTGACAAATTAATTTTTTGGAACTTGAAAGGTGATACGATGTTTTTTGATTGTGCGACGAGAAAGTTGGAGAAGATGAGCTGGGTGCCTCCTTTTCCTATGGATTCTCCGCACATTTTTCCGTTCGTCGAGAGCTATGTTCCGCTGCACTAATAAATAATCAGACTGTTGAAGAAGAAGTATGAGGGCTATGTTCCATTCAACTCAGTTTGCTCTACGAATGTATTCTGGTGGTTTGCTAGTCTGTTTTCTTAACTCACTTTGCTCTATATATGTATAGTGCTGGTTCTTTGGTCTGCTTTCTTTAGTACTCAAAACTTGGGGACCTATTCACTATTTATTTGCATATCTACCTAGTTTTTGTTTCGAGATAGTAATAGTTTTTTTTTATTTATATTAGATGTCATATTTTTTGGCCAAGGAAAACATGTAAAGTGATGGAGTTAAATTCAATTTTAACCATTCATTTTGAGTACAAATGCGTAAATATTAAAATTGTTTTCACGCAATAATGCTTTCGTATTATTAAAATCTTACATAGATCATCCACACACAAAAGAAATTCGTACCCATATACAAAAACCAGTCTCGTTTGTAATTAGGCTAAACTCAAAGCAAGATCAGTTCTTTTTCCTTTCTCCACTTGAATTCAGCCATCTCAAACACCCCAGCGGTACTATCTCCTTTTTCACTTGAATTCAGCCATCGATAGAAACAGACACCAGAAAATCTCCATTCAAAGATACAACTATATATAGTCCTATAAGCTGAATGGCGCCTGAGTAATATTTTGGCACAATCTCCCGATAGACTGTCCCGCACAATTACTTTCCTGTCAAGAGAGCCCGTGGCTATCTACAAACAACCAGGAAGCCACAACAAACATGTGACCCAGAGAAATAACAAATAGCAAAGAAATTAATAAGAAAGATGGGGAAAAAAAAAATCAAGCACAAGAGGAAAGACTTAAAACTTTCGTATCGCTTGTATCTTTTTGAAAAAAAAACCTCTTAAACCAGCTTGTAGTTCAAAACTGGGGATTCTCGTCGATCAACTGTTGAGAGCTCCTGATATGGGATACGGTCTCATGGATCGAGGCATCACCTGAACCGGGATCGAACCAAATGGATCGAGGCATCACCTGAACCGGGATTGAACCACATCGGGTCGTTCGATCCAGAGATCTGTCGAGCTCAGGCTGCTGGGAGATGAGGGGTTCGTGTTTTGGGGCTGATCTTCGTTGTACTGGCACGAGGGTTGTCTTCTTGGTAGAGATTGGGCTTGATTGTTTATGAATTATTTTACTCATATTTATTTCATACTCAAAATCTAACTCAACTTTAACTCAAACCCACTATCTTTAATATTATTCATATAATTAAATAATACAAATTCTTACACATCACATCAACTTTAATTCCCTATTTATCGACTCACATATTTTTAAATAACCTATCATTTCCAATCATTTATCTCATACTTTTACATCAAATCAATTTTAATTATTTTATTTTAAATATTATTTTAATACATCCTTAAAATTTCATTAACAACTAATCATACCACTTTTTTCAAAATTAACTATAGTTAACCAAAATAACTCATTTTGAACAATTTTTTTCATAAACAATCAAGCCCTTAAGGTTTGGGGGATTTGGTCTTGTTAGGTGTTTTACTGCAATTTCGAATTCGGCTTTGGGCGAGATCTTTGTCCGTGGGGGTGGTAGCCCTTGTTGGTTGGTGTTATAGTTGCCTGGGTATTGCTTGTCGGCTATCGAGAAGGGCTTTAGTTTAGTTTTTGATTAGTTTTCTTATGTGTTATGTGTCGTTTTATTATTCTCCTCTTCTGGGAGTGTGTATTTCCTTTCTTGGTAGTGTGTATTCTCTACATGTGAAGCTTTTATTTAATTTTTTTAGTGTTGTGTTGTGATCAAGGTTTTGAAAACCGAACGGATCATTGAATTGGTGAATCTATCGGTTTAATGGTTCACTGGTACGGCCAGTGGTCGAACCGATTTAATTAATATATAATTTTTTTTATATATCTTATATGTATTATATATAATTGTATATATTTTTATCATTAATTTTATAGTGTATAATGACATTTCTCAACATACAAAATAATTATATATATTTTTTTATCATTTTAGTATGTATAATATATAACTGTACATTTTTATCATTACCAGATTAAACATTAAAGTTTGTATTTATTTTGTAAATTCTAAATTTGGAATAATAATATAAATATCTTTTTAGTAAAAGTTTGCACTTTGCATTTTGAAAAGTTTGGGCTTAATGTTTGAAAAAGTTTGCACTTTATCATTTTGTAAAAGTGAGGACTTAAATATATCAGATTAAATATTACGTAAACTTCGTATTGAATTTTGAAAAAAATTCACACTTTGCATATGTTGAATCTTAGTATTGAATTCACACTTAGCCCATTTCGTTTCGGCTCGGTCAGTGGGATTTTAGTATTGAATTTTGAAAAAAAATTACACTTTGCATATATTAAAGAGGAATTTGCACCCTACCATCATGTAGGAGCATAGTTGTAAAAATCGGACCAGACCTTCCGGTCCTATCGGTTGAACCGGGAACCGGCCAGTTCACCGGTCCGGTTCAATGGAAGAAACCGGCTGTGGCTAAAACTGGTCAAAAACCGGTCATTGACCGGTCGAATCGGCCAAAACTGGCAAAAAACCAGTTGGTTGAACTGGTCATTTTATTTTTTGCCAATCCGGTCAAATAATTTTTATGTATAAATTCTAACACTTTTATACAGCAACTAACCTTTTATGGTTACCGATGTGGGATGAGACAAGATGTAAGAATTCTAAATTTCTAATTGTAAAGGTAAATGACTAAAGCCACGCGTGGAAAGAATTTCTTTTCCCTTTTACCTGCGTGTGGAATGAATTTCTTTTCCCATATCCCATCTTTATTTTTTATTATTTTATTGCTCAATGTGAGAGTGTGAGGAAATATATATTTTTTTTCTTTATTTTTGTACTATCATTTTATTGCTTAATCTATATATGGTGGGACCAACCTTTTATAAAATAAGTCAACTATATTTAATATTTATAAAGTATTATATATTTAAAATATCAATAAATTAAATAACTTAAAAATTAAGTTAACTATATTTATGAAATATTATATATATATTTATATTTAAAAATATCAATAAATTAAATAACGGTCCAATCGGTTTAACCACTGGTCTGGACCGGTTCAACCACTGGTCGGACCAGTAAACCATTGAACCAGTAGCTTGACCGGTTCAATGACCGGTCCGGTTTTGACAACCTTGTGTGTGAGTGATATTACACTTATACACTCCTTATATTCTTATTTATAAAATTATCTAAACAAGCCAAAAATATTTCAATTTTACCTATAACCGTTATGTTGATACCCAATTTGGCTCTAATTAAATAATTGATAAATAAAATAATAAAATACGGCCAGATAATCAATGAGCCGACAATACGAAATAAATAAATATACAAACAGGTTCTCGAGACTGATCAGTCAGAAGCCACCTCAGATATACGTCAATCGAAGCCATCAAACGTCATAAGTGGGCCCCACGATGATCATCTCCTTTAAATAATGATGTACCATTGTTACTTATTCAAGGACCCACTTGTAAAAGTGAGGGATGTATATATATGGAATGGGGAGGAGAGAGAAAGGGACTTTTCCCTTCATTCTTCACTTTTCCTTCCCACACAACATAAGAGAGAGAGTAAGGGTGGTTGGATGAGCTCTCTTGATTATTCCTCTTCCCTCAACAAAAAAAAAAGGAGGTTTCTCTCCAAAATAAGAAAAATACCAATTCTCTATCATTCTTTTTTGTTCATCGATTTCACACAAGCAGTTCGTATTATATTTAACGGTTGATCATCCGATTTTCGACATCAACAGTTTGGCGCTAGAAGAAGGGCCCCGTAATTTGCTCGGGGTCAATTCTCGCCGGAAAACGGCCGCATTTCCACCGGAAAATATATTCTCCAACTTCATCTCAACTTACTCCATGTTCATTTCTCCCATTTCTTATGGTATGTATCAATACATTATGCGTAAGTTCATCCCAGAACATTTAGAAAAAAAAAGGGAAAGAAAGGAGGTTTCATAATCCACAACCATTTTCCCCTCTTTAGCCACAAATCTTCAATACATGGGGTTGAAATTTATTGCCACACATGAGTTGCAAGAAAACCACCCAAGAATTCCTAATTTCATCTATTTTTATCTTCTTTCCTTGTTTTTCTGGTGAGGCTATGAAGATCTGCTGGAATTTCACGCAAAGTTCCTCTTTCTTTTCATTTTCATTTTTCTTTTCTTTTTTACTGAATAAAAAATGGACAAAAAACACCACTTGCTTGGACAATATTGAGCCACGTGAATGACACTGTTATTTTCAGTATGATACTATTCATATCACATCATATTAATTGAGTAATAAAAAAATAAAAAATAAAAAAGAGAAGGAAGAAACAATTAAGAATTCAGAAAACGGCACCCTCACCACTACTGGCCACCTCGCCGTATCCAGTCTCCGACCACAATTGCAAGTGCCGAGCCCGCACAACACAACAAGTTGAACGCAACTCCATGTCGAAGTCCGGCCTGACATACCACAGGAGTCGGGCTGACACCACCCTCACCTTAGTTGGCCGACCTCAAGCCGCCGGTCGACCATCCGTGTCCTGGACTGCCCAACTCACCGTCGGTGCCGACCTCGCCATTGTGGACACTCTCACAGCCGGGCTGAAAACGACCACCGTGACCGACCACTTCACTGGCAGCAAGGGCCTAAAATTTTTCCGACGCCGATCTCTCAACAGATGCACAGTCCACTTCATCATCCCCAAACTCAGCCCAGGACACGAATTCTTCGACTCCAACCTCCGAACCGCGGCCGAGCCGCCTCAAATCACAACACGGGCAGACACTTTCACCATTGACATCAAAGCCGAACAACTGACCCGCACTCTACGACTGGCCGACGCTGCCCGGCTCCAGACTGGAGACCACAACGAACTCGGGCTTCAAGCCTTCGAGCCGCGATCCGGGCTGAGCACAGTGACCAGCCGAAGCCGACCTCACTTTGCCGGAACCCTGACATCTCCAACTTCAGCCCGGGACCAAAACGAAGGTCGACCTCGCAACTGCCGGGCTAACCTCGCAAGCCGATTTCGACGCCAGGGTCGACCCCGCAATTACCGAACATGATTCACAACTCAGACTTCCTACTGACTTCAACCTAGGGTCAACGTCGGGCCGTCGGACAGAACTCCAGTGCCGACCTCGCAATTGACGGGCTGGCCTCGCCACAACCAGCCAAGCTGACCTCAAGCCTCCGCCGATGCCGACCTCACAACCGTTAGACCACCGACCCTCAAATTGCCGGCCTCG